GCCGTCATGAGAATGCCCTGGCAAACAGAATATTGGAGAGCAGCGGGTAGTCAGTCCAGGTGCAGAGAGGGATGAGTAGGATGGAGCAGGAATTAACAGAGGCATCAAGACATAGCCCCAGGCAAAAGATGATGTGTTAGGGAGAGGCAAGAGAGACTGTAGGAGCAGTCAGGCTGGACAGTGGCATGGATGTCAAAGATATGATGGGGCAACCATTCCGCAAATCAGCTACCTGAATAATAAACATGGAATATTTAGAGTTAGGAGGGACCTTGGAGACCCCCGAGCCCAAACCCTTCATTTTAAAGTTGAGGACACACAGGCTGAGAAAGTTACCACAGTTTTCCATAGAGAAGAAATGGAAAGATTAATGGACCAAAAGGTCCTTGCCCAAGGTGACAGAGCTGGGAAAGTGGAGAAGCCAGGACTGAAGGTCAGTTGTCTTTTCTTTTGTTATTATTACATTCATTAATTTGGTTATTGTCAACCAGATTTTCAAGTATGCTTTTCAACATACTTTATATGCAAATAATCTGAATTTCTGAGATCAGGTAATCATCTTTGTTATAATCAACAGGGCAGTCAGAGTGATACATTAAATAGAACAAGCAAGAAAATCCGCAATTAGAGAAACACTAAATAGAGTCTAGTTTTCTGACTCGTAGATTGGAGCTGTCTTCCCTAAAGCCCTGTGTGCTGTTTGGACCCTTCTCTGCTCTTTAATGTTGAAGTACTGGACGCCCGCTACGAGCAGCTCCAACAGGACGGTTTGGTGACTCAGAGAATGAAGCACACACAAAAATGGGGTGTGGGGTTCCTGAAGGCTCAGAGGGACAGGATGGTCAGTTACCACAGTAACCCAGCCACCCAGAGAATCAAGGAAAATCAATTCAAGTCTAAGATTTGATAAGGCCATGGTGATTGCACAACTGCCCCAGCAGCTGGCACGAGCAGGCCCCCACCCCTCACACAGCAGAGACGTGGGCCTCAGAGGACAGGGGTCTGCCCCTCAATCTTGAGCGCTCAGGAGTGCGCTCCTCTGCAGGCAGAAGGAAACACACTCCAATGTTGCCCAAAGGATTATGAGTAAGACTGCTTAAATAGAGTTCACCCGCATATGACTTCCTTGAGCTATTTTAGGGTCACATTGTTCGGAAGACAGATCACTTACAGCTGCCTCTGCACCTGTCCCCAGATCTCTCACCAGCATAAGAGCAATGGTCTAACAGGCTTGTCCTTGCAGGCGAAACAGGAGGCTCGTCCATATGCTTGCTAGGCATCTGCTCATTTTCCCATATGTACTCTGCACTATCTTCTCGGGCAATTTAAAGTTCACTGAAAAACTCCTACCTATGTCTATTATCTTGACTGTGAGTGGCATCTCTGAGAGGTTAGCACAGAAGAGGCTAGGGGTAAAACAGCTTTAACCCAGAAGAGAAGGCAATGAATCTAGACCCAGGGGTCAAGGGTGGGGCTCTTCTGCTTATCTGAAGTCAACGTGGCAGAGAAGAGCGGTGGCAACTCCAACAAAAGGAATGTGGGGCCAGCACTTGGAACAAACTGGAACAAAATATGCTCAGGAAATGTTTCAGAGTACAAAAGAGTTATGTTAGATGAGCTCCAAGAAAAGCTTTTGAACTCTGGCTCAGTGACAAGATCCTTGCAAAAGAAATAAATTTGATGAATCCTGCACATGAATCAGAGATGGGAATGAAAGCAAAATACAAGCTTATCAGCAACCTCACCCCAACCACAAAATCAGGGATGTGACTGCATCCAAAAGGTGCATGAGATAAGAATGGGTCTGAGGAAGGTTAACCATTTCCAGAAAGGAAAGTCTCAGAAGACGATCACCTACCTGCCAGCTCACTGACTCCAACCTCAGGTCATAACCCCAATTAGGGAGAAATCCAATTCCAGATGGTGAAGGAGATGAGAAAGGAACTAACACTTGTTGACTGCATATTAGGCTAGGAGCAGAGCACCGTGCTGCTGTGCTGGGAGCTTTCTGTCTATCATTTCATTTCATCCTCATAACGATTCTAATGAGATGAGCAATGTTCCTATTTTATAGCTAATAAAACTGATGTTCTTAAAAATTAATTAGCATGTCTTAGCTCACACAGCCAACGAGTGGAGGAGCTGGTACTTGACCTGGGAGTGTTAATAATATGCAAACATCTGTTTTAAAAAGAAATAGGTCCTTATTTTAATTTCCTTTGGGATTTATTTCATTCATTTGATAAGTACAGTCGTCCCTCAGTTTCGGAAGGGGATCAGTTCCAAGATATCTGCCCCAAGAATATCCACGGATGCTCAAGTCTCTTACACGAAATGGCACAGTAATTGCATATAACCTATGCACATCCTTCCACACACTTTAAGTCATCTCTTGATTATTTCTAACACCTAATAAATGTAAACCCTATGTAAACAATTGTTATACTGTATTGTTTAGAGAACAATGACAAGAAAGGAGTCTGGACGTGTTCACTACAGATGCGACCATCAGTAGGTCTTTCGATCCACAGCTGGTTGAATCTACAGATGCAGAATCCCCAGATACAGAGGGCAGATTGTATCTCAAAGAAGCTGCTCTAAGGCACCGCTCTTCCAGATGCTGGAGACAGAACAGACAGTAAAGACTGCCTTCAAGAGTTCAGTTCCAGCACACTAGAACTTCGAAGCCTCAGTGTTTCCAATTTGGGAAGGAAAGAGGGAATCGGTGACCTAAAGAATTTCTTTTTCTTTTTCAAGATTGGCACCTGAGCTAACAACGTTGCCAATCTTTTTTTTTTTCTGCTTTTTCTCCCCAAATCCCCCCAGTATATAGTTGTATATTTTATTTAGTTGTGAGTCCTTCTAGTTGTGGCATGTGGGACACCGCCTCAACATGGCCTGATGAGTGGTGCCATGTCTGCGCCCAGGATCCAAACTGGCGAAACCCTGGGCCGCCGAAGCAGAGCATGCGAACTTAACCACTTGGCCACGGGGCCAGCCCCTAAAGAATTTTAATAGTCATCCACGTACAGGGGAGCTGAATGACACAAGCACTTGCAAATTCACTTGTCTTCATCACTCTGACTGAGATGTAACAAACACACATATACAACTTGAATAGATAATACACAAGCTACCATACAAGTCAAAGGTAACCAGATACAAAATGTGGCCAGCCCGAAGAATATGCAACCAGTAAAGGCTCTACTAACATCACTTGAGAACCACTCGAGGAAGTAAAAAGACTAAAAAGTTAACGTGAGGAAGTAAACAGTCATGTGTATTTGAGCTGATCATTTAAAGACTTTCTTAATAACTATTCGCTGAATACACAATCTAGCGAGTGAAAAAAAATCTGAAAGAATAACATTTAAACAAAATGACTTAAAGCTCTAACCAAAGAGAAACACAGTAAAAGTTGGCCATGAAGAGCAAAGGAACATTGCCAAGCCTGCTACCCTGCCTCCAAACTGTTCAACAGAAAATAAATTAGGGATTTGGCCCCTGGGGTAAAAGACACAATCAGGTAAACGTCGAACAAAGCCAAGCGCAGGCGAGCCATGTGGAGGGTGTCATGAAAAAAGGCGGGACTCTCAACTTACAGATGAGACAGAGAGGCCCTCCGGGAGACCCACACGGGCCCAGCCACAAAGGAATCAGTCTGGCCAGTGGTGGACGCCCACTCAAGTCAGACGAAACTGGTGCAACGTAACCACGTTGTACACCTTAAACTTACATATGTTCTATGTCAATTCTATCTTAATAAAACTAGGGACAAAACCCAATGCCAACCTGCCCTCACGGGAGCCCCACCCAAAGGACGAAGACACAGGATACAGAGGGAGACGGAATTTTCTGTTAGTTTGTTTGGGGCCTACCCTTAAACATGTCTCTGCTGGACTCTGCCCCTTCACCTCCTTCTCGCCCGCCCTCTAACGGACGCAGACACGGCACAGAGTATGGAAGAGGCGGACCCACGCCAGCAAGGCCAAGTGCTGTAGAAACTGCAGGCCCGCCTGTCCTTCCAGGCCAAGCGTTAGAGAACACGGCTTTACAAATGTGGCAAAACGGTAACAAATGTGGCAAAACGGTAACACTGCCGGTGAAGCCGGGCCAAGGGTATGTGGGTTACACTGTATCACTCTTTCAACTTTTCTATGTTGGATGTTTTTCTGAAAAAAAAATTCAAGCAAACAAAAAGAAAAAAATACAGCTTCAAAGAGGCTGTGGTGGGAGAGGAGGAGAACAGCATCATTCCCAAATCTGGGGGCAAACTACTCAGTGATAAACTCTGGATAACTCTGAACTTCAGATCTCAAACTATCAACTTGTACCAACAACCGTGGAGACTTAAAAACAAAAGGAGCCCTAGGCCAGGCCCCTCTCACTGCTGCTCCCGCCAGGCGGGAGCCACATGCTGACTTGCGGAGTTCCCCCGCTGCGCTCCCTCCTGGAGCCGGAGCCAGGCTCTAGGAGATGCACCTGACCCCTGCAGGCTGAGGTCACTCTTGTCCCTGAAGCCAGCCTGGCCTTCTCAGAGAGCGCCACAGATACCCTCATCTGGGGACACCAAGAGGATCAAAGGATTAAACCAGGGCAGTTTTTCCTACGCCTGTGGTTGGCAAAGAACCGCGAATGTGGAAGTGGAAAAATTCATTGCCAAGGGATGAAACTCACTCAAATGACAACCTAGTCCATTGCTGGCCATTCCAGGAAAGTAGGGAGTGGAGCTTTTTAATGGGAAAGGAAATCTGTTATTCTATATACATCATAATCCACTTCATGACTTAGTCCGGAAGGAAGGGAAATCTATTTGAGTTCAGCGCCTGCCTGACTAGCCCCTTGGTGACCTCCCCACTCCACATCTGTCCCCACCAACCCCACCCTCTATAAAGATCAGAGGACTGAAATATCTTCATCTCTGTGCTCCGCAAGGACTCACAGGGGCACCACACACTCTCCCCAGAGGGCACGGCCTGACTTCCAGGGCTGGGATTTACCAATGTCACTCAGCAAGGTGAGGATGGCTCCTTCCCGCAGGCCACAGCAGTTCTCAAACTGGTTCAGGTACTGTCAAGAAGGTGAAAAGAAGCGTCAGAGAGAGTGGCCACCGACCACCAGTAAGCCCACAAGCATCTCTTACCAGCGGAAGTCATCAAGTGTTAATCCTGGCCCTGGGCTTTGGGGACCAGGGCTGACAGGGAGCGGGGGCAGCAGGACTGGCAGGAATTGGCCCGAGGAGGAGGAGCAGTACTGAGAACTCCAGAAGCGCTCGCACACCCATAGCACGGGCTGGGCTGAGGTGTCTGAGTCACTCTTAGACAGGGAGCTCAAGGCTCATGGCAGCAGTCCTGAGGGAGGCAGGCCCGGGTCGAAGCCCAGCCACCCTGGCCCACTGCTCCTGAGAGGCCCAAGGAGGGCAGGGCCCTAAAACCACCCTCTGGCCATCTCCCCGCCGGCCTCGCCAGTGGGTGGTGCAGCAGGAGGGGCAATCAGCAAGCCCGCACTGCATGCCTGTGCCAGGCCGACCCCCACTCAGGTTAGCTCAGGAAGGTCTTCCCTGCACTGTCACACTTCATCCTCCCCCTGCCACTGAGGTGAGCACTGCAGGAATCTCCATGTCACAGGTGAGGAACCTGGGGCTGAGGGGCCAGCCATCTGTCTGCTAACACAGCTGTCACAGAGCAGAGCCGGAACATGAAGCCAGGTTCTGCCTGAGGCTCGAGCCCAGGCACTTCAATGCAGACAACAGAGTAAAGCGCTTCCCAACTGAGATTCAGAGTCATCAACTAACACTGGTACCCACGACCATCCGAGAGCCTGTTTCCTGAGCCAGGCCCACATACGCCCTCTTACAGTCACTTCTGGCTTTTACATTTGCCCCCGTGCTGGCCACGCTGCTCTCTCCAGGCCCAGGGGTGTTGATTCTGAACTTTTAGAGGCAGGAAAGACAGGTGACCTCACTTGGAGAACAGAGACCCCGGTGCTCTGGGCGCACTCGCTCCCTGCCTCCCCGCCACCCTGCACCCCACACTAGGTCCATCATGCTGACGTTTGTTTCTTCTGCCCTGGCTGACCGGCTGTTTGCTGCCTACAAGATCAAGACTACAGTCCCCTGCCCGGCTTCAGAGCCCTCTGTAATCTGGTGCGACCCACCCACGCTGCTCTCTAAGGACTGTCTGCTAAACTATGATAACATGGCTTCCTCTCCTGACACAACTGCTGTTAGTAACAGGACTGGCAAAGGTTAGGAAAATAAAGAGGAACGTCAAAGCGTTGTCAGTTTCCCCACTTCTCATCAGTTATCAGTCCCTTGCTTGTGGGGCATGCCAACGACTGTGTTCACATCCTGCCATGACACTCCCAGGACATGCCCACCTCCCACGGAAGGAGAAAGCCACTCGGGCAGATTGACCCTCATGGAAAGTTTCCTTTTGAAAGAGAAGGCGGAAGGGGCCAGAAGAATAACACAAATGGCCATGATGCCTGACCTAGGAAACTGCCACGGAAAGACAGGAGAGACGCCGGGGATCCTGCACCCCCTTAAAATCACAGGCCTTCTCCTAGAGCGAAGAGCTGAGGGAGACGTGTGCTAACAGAGCAGCCTCTTTTTCATTACAAAAACAACTCTTCCGCCCAGAGCTTTTAGTTTTCCTCATGCTATATGGCATTGTTCAGTTTCACAGATGGAGAAGTGGCCTGCAGTTGGGTTCATAGGGCCCGTGACCCAAGCTCTGCCACAGTGGCGGTGCGAGGCCTGGTAATCCACCTAACGTCTCTGGGCTAAGATACCCATCCTTCACATGGGAATGGCATCTGTTTTACCAACGTCACAGGGATGTTGACAAGTGAACGAGGCAATGTGTTGAAGCAGGTTGTGTGACACTGTTTTAGAGAACGCTGGGGAGGTGGACACACACCTGTCCCTGAGACTTGGGGGGGCTGCCATCAACCCCTCTGCAGAGTACGTTCTAGCAAAGAGAAGTTACTGTGGTCAGAAGGAGGAAAGAAAGCCCAGAAGGTGAGTCAGTGGTGGCTCTGGAACCCCAGGCCAGCTCCCTGATTACTAAGCCACCTCCCTTCCTGCCCCACTCTGTGCCCTGTGTGCAGTGCTGCCACAGCTGTGGGAGAAACTCCTCCTAATAAGGACACTGAGAGAATGAAGTGGCCCCGACATGCCAAGGGAGGAAGAGTTTGTTCTGGAACTCGTCCAGTCTTGCCTCGTACTCAAGACCTGGTGACCTTTTCCTCATCGTTTTAGTAACCGCTGTGCAGAATGCGATTCTTCCCGACTTTCTTGTAAGGGCCTCTGATTCATTCAGTCTCTTAATTCACACGCACACACATCGCCCCACACGGGGCAGGGACGAGGGGGATGTGAGAAGGCAATCCCACTGACGTCACCAGGGCTCCCTGAGCTGCCCGATGACAAAGGCAGTGAAAGGTCTCCGGCACTCCCCGCGCCCTGGACGCCTCACCTTGCGGAGGTCTCCTCCCTGGCAGTACTCCATGGCCAGCAGGGGCAAGTCATTGGGAGCCAAGTTCTGCATCCCCTCAGGGACATCCCGGGCAGCCACCACATTGGGGTGGTTCAGCCTAGGAAGAAGGAGAAACCAATGAGGGAGGACCCTGAGCTTTGGCTCAAACCCATTCCCCCTCCGCCCATGTCTCAGCAAAGCTCACCTTATAACAAAGGCCTGGAACAGCAAGGGCCCTCAGGAGTAAGTAGGGGAAGATAGAAATCAGGAACGGGTGACTGACCTCCAGGCCCAGGCGGTCAGCATCCCCAATTCCACTTTCCGCCCTGTGAACCCCAGGTCTCTCAGTGCATCCCACGTAACTTAAACTTCTTTAGAGGGCCTCACGCCAAGCCCTCACTGTACTTCAAAACTGCTTTGAAAAGCAGAGAAAGTAGAGGGACTTCCAATGTCATGCCATTCAAGTGGGGATGGGGTGTGTGTGCGCATGTGTGTGTGCACGCGGGCACTGGATGCCAACAAGGTAACAGCTCCCCTCTCTAACAGGTTCATGGACGGAGCACCTGTTTGAGGTCTTCCGAGCTAACTATGTTGCTGGTTTACCTGAACACCTCACTAGCTGGGAGGACAGCATCCACCTAGAGGACTGACAGACCCTGTCTCCACTCGAGAGGAAGAAAGATCAGGAACAGCTCACAGCAGTGGAGAGTCACATGCAGCTTGGAATTGGAAGTATGGGGGAAAAAAGGACTTTTGCTGACAAAGGAAAATTCAACGTGACAGCTATTTAAAGTTATTTATTATAACAAATAAAACTAACCAAGAGCCCTTGACAAGGTCAGTCGTTGGATACTGACTGCCACTCTTCTGGAAGGCATGTATCCGGACAGACCGGCTGGCGTCCTGATTGAGGGACTGAGATTTCTGACTCTCTTTTTCCAGACGCAGCAGGTGGGGCCGTTGCTCCAGATCTCCAAGCCCCGCTGACTGCCTTGGACTTCATCTCAACGTCCCATGGCCCCTCGGCCCCTGCAGGCCCCTTGGCACCCCCTGTGGCAGCCCTGTCGCCAGCGGCAGCTCGAAGCACCAGGCCCTCACCTTCTCATGATCTGGATCTCCAGGCACCACCGCTCTCGATTCCGGGGACTGAGCTCCTGCCGGCACTGCTTGATGGCGATCTGCTCACCTGTTTCCTGCAGAGAGAGCAGGCGCGGGAGGATGAGCAGAACCAACAACCAAACACAAGAGAAAGCCTTGGGTCACATCCAGAACTGTCTCCCGATTTTACAGCAGGCCCAAAGCAGGGATTGCCATTGCCAGCAGGCTCCTGAGGCGCGCCTCTGTGTCCACTGGGAGATGTCCCCAAGTCACCTGCCAGCCCATCAGGCTGGTCTCCATCATCCCCACCTCTCACTCAGCACTTCCCTCATTTCCATCCATCCAGAGTTTGCGTCAAGGCCTTGCTCGGTTCCGACCTCCTCCACAAAACCTCTGCTGGCCATTCCTGCCCAAGAGATTTCCCATTCCTGCCCAAGAGATTTCCCATTCCTCCGAAGCCCGCCTGCTGTCACACCAGGTCGAACCATGTGACACTCTGTTGTTGACCGTTCTCACCTGCACCAATGGCACTTCCACGTGGCTCAATCTCATAGTCAGTGCCACACAGTCTCCATGTTTCATATTTCTCTCTCTGGAGAGAGTTTTGTCTCTTCAGAGAGAATGTAAGCCGAGTAGATGGAACACAGGCTGATTCAAATTCCTACTTGGCCATTTACTAGCTCTGTGACCTTAACCACACCCCTTGGTCCGACTCAGTTTCTTCATCTGTAAAATGGGAATACTGACACCCACTGTCATGCAGCTGAGCCCCTAGCCAAGTCCAGCCCTTAGCAGGTGTTCAGTGACACTCCTGGGGGCAGACCCACGTCACGCAGGTACTCCTGGCATTTAAAATCCTCCAAAGCTTGGCTCCAATCTGCCTTTCCAGTCACCTCCCAGGACTCCACCCCAGGCCTGACCAGCAGCTAGATTAGACCGCGGGCCCAGGCCATGCCGTTGCAGTCTGCGCTTGTGCTGGCACGGTGCACAGGCACCACAGGCTTCCCCCGCCAGGGGCTCCTGCCCCCTCGCTACACAGGTAACCCCTTCATTGCCCATACCCACCTGACTGATTTTCTGTAGGTCATAGGGTTATTGTCTCTTTTCTTTGTTAAATTATAGGCTTGTCCATCCTCATGCACTTTAACCTCTTCTCCAGTAACTAGCACAATGCCCTCACGTTTCATAAATGGAAAAGAAGGCAATCAATAAAATTTTTGTGAATAACTGACTGGCTGACCAGGTCCTGAGGATTAACTCTTCCCTTTTCCTTGGTGCTCTAGGCAGCATCAAGGAGCCATGGGGGACAGACCAAAAATCCCTTTTTGGTCTGTCCTCCCGGACAAGAAAAATCCTCCCGGACCCTGAGGCTGCAGCATCGGTGGCAGTAGGGACTGCGGCTCTGTCCTCGGGTGCTCTGGCCACACAATGGGGTCACCACTATGCGTTGCCACCTCCTTGGGCCCATGGGGGCCTCCAGGATGAGTGAGGGGCAGCAGCTGCCCCTGGTTGTGGCTTTGGTGGTGGCCTGGGAGCTGGTCTGCCATTAGTGAGCAAGCTGCCCTATACCAATATCCTGTGTATTCTGTGCATCTGCAGCAAGAACCTCCCCACCAGCCCCATACTCAGCACGCCCCTGGGGAAGGGCCACGGCCTGCAGGTTGGTACGGTCAATCCAACAACAAGAAAAGATTTCAGAACGGCACCAAAACTCTACTGTTGCCCAATTGAAGGATGCCCCAGAAGGCCTGTCAGACTGTTCTGTCAGTTCATGAAAATGCATACTGAAAAGAATCATTAAGTCTTTTAAGTATAGCAATTCGTATAGAACTGAACGGGATTTAAAAAAGACGTGACGACTGTGGCAAGACCTTCCAGTGTGCGCGTGCAGAACTTCATCGCAGCCGCACATTTACCAAGCTAGCCATGATCCCTACAGGAAGAAGGACCCATCCACTAAAAAAAGGAGAAATGGAAGGCTCCAAACAGGAGCAGAAGCTGTCTAATAAGACCACTGAATCACTGATCAACAAACCAATCCCTAAAACTGACTTAAGAACTGTAAGCTTCAGAAATAAGGTAGAAGCATCTTCTGATCCTTACAGGTCCAATGGCAGAAAAGAGATACTTACAACACCTCGGAGATACTCCCGTAAGTTGCTTCTATCAAATCCCAACATTGCTGAGGTTAAACTCTCCGTCATGCGGTGACCTCACATGCCTACTTTTTCTTTAACAGCTCTATTGAGATATAATTCACATACCATACCATTCATTCATTTAAAGAATATAATTTAATGGTTGTGGATGTATTCATAGTGCAACCAAAACCACAATCAATTTTAGAACATGTTCATCACCCCGCATAGAAACCCCATACCCATTAGCAGTCACTCCCCATTTCCCCCCAACCCCTTCAGCCCTAGGCAACCACCAATCTACTTTCTGTCTCTACAGGTTAACCTATTCTGGACATTCATACAAACGGAATCATACAGTATGTGGTCTTGTGTGATGGCTTCTTTCACTTAGCCTACTGTCTCCACGGCTTACCCATGCTGGAGCTGCATGTCCACTTTTGTGATAACACTCCTCGGTGCAGCCCATGGCAGCAGTAGGTGTTGATAACCAGGTTCTGCTGTAAGTATCCTTCACTTACTTTGCTATTAGAACCCTGATCTTTGGCCTAGATTCTGAGGTGCTCTCTGAAGAAGAGCTGACCTCTTTCAAAAATTGTAAATCCTGTTGCTATTGAACCAATTAGCACAGCTGTAGAGGTGAATTTGGGCAGAAGTCCATCTAACAGTTTTCAAGAGTTAGAGAACATGTCAAAAGAATCCCACTGTTCTTCAATCGATGTACAAGCAGACTGTGCTACACTTCACAAAATCTTACACCCCCTACCTCGTGAGCTTCCCAATTCCTCTGTCTGCTCTCAAACTGATTTGAATTTGGTTTCAAGTTTCACTTCCCATTAGTGTTCAGACTCAAATATTTCTCCCCAGTTCTACGGTAACTCCGTCAACAGTGGCTCCGACACACCGACACACGTTACAGATGCTAGTCTCCTGTTAGGCGGGATCGCTACAGAAACAGCCTGTGGAAGGCAGAGCTCTACCCGAGAGGAGGCTGACGGGCTGTGCTGTACGAGGGAGCACTGTCGAGAGTGCCCCCCCAGCATGCAGTGTTTCAATGGACAGTCTTGTAAGTAACAGTTTAGTAGAAGATTTTGCAATTCATGGTTTGTTACCTCAGAATGACTCTTGAGAGTTTAAACCAAGAATTTTAAAAATCTGCACCTATTTTAACTTCAATACACAGAACAGTGTGCTAGTTTTCTATTGCGCTATAACAAATTGCCACAAACTTAGTGGCCTGAAACAGTACAAATTTGTTTCCTTACAGTTCTGGAGATCAGAAGTCCGGGATGGTCTCACCAGGCTAAAATCGAGATGTTGGCAGGGCCGTGGTCCTTTCTGGACACTCTAAAAGAGAATGCGCTTCCTTGCGTTTTTCCAGCTTCTTAGAGGCTGCCTGAATTCCTTGGCTCATGGCCCCTTCCACCAGCAATGACCAGTTGAGTCACTGTCACATTGTATCACTCTGACACTGATTCTCCTGCCTCTCTCTTTTACTTTTAATCACTTCCGTGGTTGTATTGGGCCCACCCAGAAAATCCAGGATAATCTTCCCATCTAAGGTCAGCTGATCAGCAACCTTAATTTCATCTGCAACCTTAATTCCCATTTGCTATGTAACCTCACATCTTCACAGGTTTGGGGGTTAGGATGGAGATATCTTCGGGAGGTCCCATTACTCCACCTACCACCAACAGTATGCTTCCTTCATAAAAATGACAGATAAATCAAACCTGAAAGGCAGATATACTAAGTGACTTAGAAAATACTTTAGGTCTGTCTCTATACATTAGATAATAGTAGATAATCATAGTCTTTTGCTCAGTGCAAACACTGGACCTAACACACAGCTGTCACCTGGCCCAACCAGAATCCAGGAATAGATTTTGATATTGCAGACTGATATTAAAGACTGAAGATTTGATCCTGGCCTCAATACTCAAACTCAGACTGCGGAGTGAGCTTGGAGCAACAGCAGCACTGAACATGTTGTGGAATAACAGGGCACAGAGACCATCACTGGAGAGTTCAGCTCAGGCCCACGGCTGCAGGGGAACTCCTAACTTCCTAGCCTGGAAATGTCCCACAGATACAGACACACTTCAAGTCTCCTTACACAGTGGCCATGAGTATGTTTCACTTGAAACAGAAACCTGAACAATGACTTTCTGTTGCTAAAAACACACCTGCTCTAGAAAGCAAAATTCAATTGAACAGTACAGAAACAGACAACGAATACTGGCTTTGAAACCCTGGGGAGTTTGTTCTTCACCAGTAATGCAACTCAGAACAGTGGGCGCCTTTCTTCATTTGGTCTAGAACTTCCCAGGGTCAGCTCAATTCTGCCGAAACCTACACTTGGCCAGAACTATCTCATATCCAACGTCTAGTAAGTAGACTCCTCATGTGGGAGAAAATTTAAAACTGGTTTGTATTTTGAGAAAATGGAGAAATTGAATGCAGTTGATTATGAAGGTCCTTAGAGTCTCTGTGGTTCTTTGCCTTTTGTATGTGAAAACACAAAACTTGTATATAAATGTGAGTGCACTATAAGGTGCAGATGGAGGTGGGGGATACATCTGCAGACTTGTGAGAGCTACCAACAGATGCCACAGCAGAAGTGCGCTGGAACGCCAGTCTAAGAGGGAGCTGGCCCTGCCTGCCAAAGTCAGCTTTCTTTTAATGACCAAGGGAAACTCATAGGAAGCCAAGAGGTACGTTCAAAGCCTTGGCTCCGAAAGCCAGCTCTTGTTACCATGGCAACCACCCTCTAGGCACTATGGTATAAGGGGGCAACCAGTAATAACCTCCTCATTCCTTCTCAGGCCCTGCCCTCCAAGACGAATGTTTCTGAAAGGAGCGGCAACGCTGGGCTCTGAGAGATCCTAGAGACAGAACCAAGGCCCGAGAGTCAAAGGTCCAGGGCTGGCTGTAGCTTTGCCCCTCACTCAACAGCA